GTTCTAAGAGGATCCTTCTGAAAAATGCCTGCATAACAGCTTTACGCTTTTACCGTCAATCAAGTGTCTGTAGAGCCCGCTCCGCAAACGGCGGCGGGGGAGCCGGAAAGACAGCCACGAAAACGCAAAAAAAACGGGAAGCCCAAGCTCCCCCACACGACCCCTTAACTCAAAAGCCAAACGTCTTCTCGCTCGGGGTCTTTGTATATGAATATATGACGGAGTCTACATGGAGGTTTGCATAAGTGGTCGGGGCCCCATATGTAGACTCAAAGCCTGTAAAGGGTCTCAATATAGGTACATCCAAAAGAGATCCCCAGCCAGGTTTAGGAAGGCCCAGCATACTAACTACTGTGGATGGGAAATCTTGCACCACCCAGGTTACCTTATAGTCCCCCTTTAAGTAGATAGAATATGGCTTTGGGTATGTGATGATGTGATTCTTATATACTCCATACTCTATCTGCTTAAGGGGGACTATATACCCTAGGATTGACACCATATATTGCGGGTCCTAAGCGGTGCAAGACTTCCGCCACTAGCATAGCTCCATGAGCCTGGAAGCTGAGTCCTTGGGGCTTAGGGTGAAAGGTTTGGGTAGATTATGGGGTTCCAAAAAAATAAGTACCCTCCAGCTTGGGGCTTAGGCTTTGAGGTTTAAGGACGATGGTCCTTATGGTGGGTACCCTGCTGAATCAACATTGAAACCACCCTTCTTCAGTTGAAGGTCTAGGGTTATGTAGTGTCTGTTTCCTAGTATGATAATAGGATTTTGGTAACCCCAACCCCCAAAATTACGACCCTATAACCAGCATATGATAGTCATAGGGTCCTAATTTTGAGGGTTGGGGTTACCAAAATCCCTTTATTATAGTAGACGGGTGCCTGAGCTTGTCCACTTGTCATGCTTTTGAGAGGCCCTGATGTGCGAGGCGTGCCTACCTAGCCAGGGAAGCATCACACCCTAAACCCTAAGCCCCAAACCCTAGGGTTTAGATATTGGGGTTATATTGGGATAATGGAAAAGAAAATGGAAACTAGTATGTGGGGTTAATAGGATATATTGGGGTTATATTGGGAGAATGGAAAAGAAAATGGAAACTAGTATTTGGGGTATAGGGTTTACCTAGGCCCTCCAATGTAGTACCTTTTTGGTAGTCCTAATAAGAGTCCTAACCAAAAAACCATGCCAAACCCAAAAAGAAACCACATTGGAGGGTCTTGGTAGGGTTTAAGGAGCTAACGATTGAGGATGATTTGAAGAATCTACGTTGCGGTCTCTGGGTCAGTGCAGGGCGGCGGAAAGTCTTGTGACAAGGACCTACCAAGTGCCATCCCCCTAATGGTTGGCCCCCCCCCCAGCCCCTAAAGAATATCCCGGGCGCAGTATACTGCCATTGCATAATAGAGAAAACACTTATGAGGGCGGGCGGTGGGGGAGTGAAAGGGCTTGGGATTAGCAAAAGCAGGCTGACGGCCTCGGGAAACCCTTAACCCTACACCATTTTGAGATTCAAGGGGTTCGAAGGATAAGTTGAGTCTTGACTATTGCCCTCAGACAGGAACATCTTTATAGGGCTAATATTTTATGCCTTTGATATTCATATTACACTTCTTTTCCAACTTACTGAACGGGGGAAACATCCAAAGAAACAATCCTTACTTTTCTAGGAGTGCAGGGAGACGAACACTCTGCCTGTCTCTTAGAGTCTGCACTTCCAAGCAGACATTGGCCAGATTGGTGAACTCACGGTGCCAGGTGCTGTAATGTCTGTGCATACCTGTAATTATGGGAGCTCTTCGCGATGTAACTTGGGGTGAACCCTTGGAACACCTTGCCTACAACTCTGTATAATCCCAGTTGCCATTCATTCTCCATCCTCTTTTTCATTTGATGCTCCATTTTGGGGTAGTATATCCCCATATGAACCTTATCTAACCCCGTACTTCCCTTTAAAGGGACCTCTATCTCACCGGGGATCTCCATTACCCAGGAAGTGCTATATCCCTTAATCAGGGAAGGTACCTTAAGTTACATTAAGGATCCCATATTAAGGTGTATATATACTCCCTAAACCCTAAATCTTATATTCCCTAATTAAAGGGCTAGACTTCCTGGGTAGAATGTCCTGAAGGTACCGCCGCCCGAAAGAGGCCTTTGTCGGTAGCCAGATCCACCTGCAACTTTTGGAATTCAGGGTCACTGAAGGGTCCATTGTTTAGGGTTTAGGGTTTAGGGTTCAGGGTCAATGACGGGTTTAGGGTGTAGGGTTCAGGGTCAATGAAGGGTTTAGGGTTTAGGGTTCAGGGTCAATGACGGGTTTAGGGTTTAGGGTTCAGGGTCAATGAAGGGTTTAGGGTGTAGGGTTCAGGGTCAACGAAGGGTTTAGTGTTTAGGGTTCAGGGTCAATGACGGGTTTAGGGTTTAGGGTTCAGGGTCAGTGAAGGGTTTAGGGTTTAGGGTTCAGGGCCAATGAAGGGTTTAGGGTTTACGGTTCAGGATTTAGGGTGTAACGTCTAGGGTTAGGGTCCAACTGGGTTTTGGGTGTAGGGATCACCCTAGGGATCCCAATACACCAATGTAGGTTCTATTTGTGGAACTTTTGGGCCCAATGTGAGTATTGTTTGAGACATGGATCCAAGGATTGGAGTCCGAAATCACGCAGGGCTTATATATGGATGTAGGAATGTGTACACTTCTCAAATACCGCCTGGCCTCAAGTACACGAAACTCCTGTCATTCTGGCATTCCGGTATACTAAGGTCATACAGCATTCATTGTAAATTTAGCGTCGGCAGTAGGAATGATGTTGCTTGATTTCGGGCTTTGGCTGGGATATGGGGTTTAAGGTTCAAGGATGAGGGAATACTTGGAGCTACGGGACTTACTAACTACTCATCGCCGGGATATAACCCTACATCTATATGGGCTGGACTGTATAAAGCCTCTGAAAAATGGGGGAATAATTACTAGGTCCCGGGAACCAAGTAATTAGTCACTAGAATTCTCTGGGTTGTAGCCCTACTTCTTGTTGCGGTATCCTAGATAAGTCCAGCAAGAGGATTGGAAGTAGGCCTATAAGCCGGGTTATAGCCAGATAAGACGAAGTGCAATAAACCTCCAAATACCCTGGCAGTCCTAATGCCCGTAGACAGCTCATGCATGATAGCATACGCAATTTCTTCAAAATTTGTGTAAGATGGTTAACCTAGGAGATTCCGGAGAACTATAGAGGTCCACCTAAACGCTTTATCCCAACACATGTGCGTACAGACGTCAGGTCAATCAGCTGCTAAACAAAGCTTGTCACATGATGGAGTTGCATCCCAGAATCTGCGATACAAGCTGAGGTATCCCTTGAATTAGTTGCTGGTAGGAATTTCTAACAAGCAGGGCGTTGCCTAGAAACACCTAGGATCACGTAGGCATTACACAAAATCTAGAGGGTTCCCTTGTAGGATTACGCGAGGAAGTTGTAAGCAACTCTCAAGTTGACGCTAAGGAGGCAGAAGCTGCAAAGAACAAAACTTGTGCATCTTTGGTATCTACGTGGCACTTAGGACCCCTACTAAGGGGTAACCCTTAGGTAGCTATAATAGGAATATAAGGGAATCCCAAAGGGTTAAGCGTCTAAGGTCCAAGCTAAGTCCCAAGGAGGTATGTCAGCTATCCCTTAATCAGGGAATATACCTTAAATCATATTAGGGATCCCTGGTATAATTTAAAGTATATTCCCTAATTAAGGGATATTGGACTTTCTGGGTCTTTGGTATGTCATCAGTGGGCCTCCTGACTGCGCTCACCTCAGCCCATAGGTACAACCTCTCAGTGTGGTCCCCGTAGAGCCATGTATCGAGGTGGTCCCTATCTGGAAGCTTCTGAAGGACACCCCTGTAGCGACCACTCTAGGCGAGATTCCTGTGCAATCCATGATAGTGCTGACACTGTAGCCCTGCATGGCTTCAGTAACACATAAATTAAATTTGAAAGTTTATAAATGCTACCACGTTATTACCAACTTTGGACCATTTGCCCTAGGGAGACGTCGGACTGTTTCCAGCCTCTATCGTAGGGTTGCCACGCGAATCCAGAATTTCACGGGCTTTGAGCGTACGGATGAAGGCCATGGGTCGAGGAACGCAAAACTGCCAAACAAATTTGATACAAAACAGCTGCGGAGACGTGAAAATGTTTGAGAGGTTTCACGAGCGGAGGGCCCCAAATCTACACTCCAGCGTAGTCAGTGAAATTCATTCTTGTGAAAATAGGGCCCCCCAGAAAAAGGCCCTAGCTTTGGATTGATTTGTGTAATCCTTGCAGCAAGCATAACATTGTTTGCCGTCAGGAAGTTGCAACCCTTCTTTGGGAAAGCACCGGACGTTGGCGCGCCTTTCGACTTCTCTTAGAAGATGGCCAGAGGAACACCCCCCAATCTTTAGTTCAAGGGGTTGGGGTTACGAAGTTCCCGCTTATTAAAGGGAATGATGACACACTCCTTACTCTGCCGTGTCACTCTCTGCATCGGATGAATTCTTAGGCTTAGCATAAGCTTGAGCAATGTCTGTGTTTGAGTTCCTAGACGCTTTGCTGCCCCGAGACATGGGACTCAGGTTCTGCTGTGAAACAAAGTGCTTGGAGGGTCAGAGGGTCTAGGGTCTATGGGGTTTAGGTATTTTTTGTTGGATTCCGATTCAGAGTTCAGGCTGTAGGGTTTGGGGGGGAAAGGGCTGCCTTTGGCGGCAATGTCCCTAAGTATTACCTAAATGTGGGGTGTTTTAAGCCATGACTTCCAACTACTTACAGTTTATGGTTTGGGGTTGAGGGCTTAGGGCTTAGCAATTGTGACTATCAACCAGTCAAGTCTCCTAACTTACCTAACTACGGTTGCAAGGGAGGGTCAGGGTTGAGGGTACAAGGCAAGAGGGGGTGAACAAGTTGAATTGGGTAGAGTTGACCCTAATCCCTAAACCCTGTAGACCTGCGGAGCAAGTCTTCGGGCCTTGTTTGACTGCTCGAGCGCGGCCTTAGCCAGCCAAGGCGCAACCCGGGGGGGGGGTGATGGAAATCAATGCGTTGAAGTTGAATATGCGAATAGATTCATTAGCAGGAACCCACCCACCCTGTAAGGGTGACTATAAGAGATAATGTAATAGTGGTGGGTTTAGGGTTTAGGTTTAGGGCTTAGGAATAGTAACTGTGAAGGATAATTCTGATGATATTAAGGTCCTCATATACTCCTATGATACCACTATTACAGGGTGGGGGGCGGGGTCCTCCAAACATGTAAATGTATATACACATATGTACGCATGTGGATACTGCATATGTGCATATGGGACTTGGCGTCAATGACTGACCCAAAATGAAAGATGGGGTGAGATTCATATAGGGACCCGCATTTGAATAGGAACCCGTCTCAAGGGACCGCATGAGAATGATTTTAGGAAAATCTACATATGGGTTTTTCTCAAACTATGGCCCCCTTTTGGTTATAGATCTTATTACGGCACCTCATGTTTAGGGGTGCCAAAAATCAGACCCTAATTTTGGGAACTACCCATATAGGTAAATACATTATGTATATGTGTTCTTTTTGGGGACTTCGGTCAGAGTCAGAGCTTGGTTTTTTTTTGGGAATGTCGCATTGTGGTTTCGGATTTAGGGCTGTACTTGGGGGTTTTCCAAGATTAAAGGTACCTTTGGCTGGTCCCCATAATAAGAACTACAATATATTATGGGTCTATATTGGGGTCCCCCTATTTTGGGAAACTACGACTTGAAAATTCACCTGTTGGTAACGGTTACTTGCGCTCGAGGCAGCCAAATGCAAGGGATGAATGAATCAAGCACCCGAATCCCTAAACCCGTCCTACCCCTTACCTCACATTTGCATATCCGTTTAAAAAATGCTGAGATTTCTGAAGTATCTGTGTTAACACGGAGTATTGGTACTTGGGCACAGGGCTTAGTAGGGCTTGCCAGGGAATCTCCGGGAGATTTCTAAACGCCTAAACTTGCAAGAATGTCTCTTGAGCTTGAGAGGCGCCGCTGTCCTCTAGTCCTCTCTAAGCTGCTCCAAAAATTTAGAGGTTTCCCAAAATTAGGGGTACCCTTTGTAGGGGTCACCATAATAGGGATTATAGTATTCTGGGGTCTAGATTGGGGTGCCCCTATCTTGGGAAACCATCATTAAAATCCAGGTTTGAGCAAGAGCGCTTTCCCAACACCTGCCGATATCACGTCCCCTGAACCCTAAACCGGAAGCCCTAAACCCTAACAGCTTAGAACAACAGAGGACAATATCATAGTAGTGCCCGCTTTGATTTCTATGTATAAGGAAGCAGAAAGGTTGGACACCGCTACATCCGCTACATCTGGGGCTTACGGTTTCAAGGGCTTAGGGTTGCTACAGTTCCCAGCTTCTGTCCAAAGAGCGGCCAGTGCTTGATCGCCTCTGAAAGAGAAACCCGAGGACTTGGAGGTTCATGGGTAACTATAAACAAGATTATGTAAATATGCAAGTAGCTGCCCTGCATACAAACCATAGTCCTATTTGTAACCACCCATGAGTATGAGTCTCCAAGTAAGCATTGGGAATCTAATCATGAGCTTAACTAATACCTAATTGATGGGGAACCCTGCAAGGGAGGGAGTAGGAAGGGGGGGTGGTACTTGGAGGACCATTGTACTTATAACCTACTTAGTAACTGTAGGTAGAACCCAATTATATCTAGGGTAACTGTAGTTATGGGACTTATATTTAGGTTATAACTACAGTTACTAAGTAGGTTATAAGTACAATGAACCTCCAAGTAGGGGAACCTATGATCTGCACCCCAACAAAGCTGAGTGCTCGAGCCGGGTTGACGGGCGTGGCGCGGACGTGAACGCTGAAGTCTAGACACCGCTGGATGTCGTCCTCGAAGCCACAGAAAAGTGACCAGGCTGGTTTAGGGGTGAGCGCTGAATACAGAGTCTGAGAGTTTGGGGCACTACCTAAACCCCCAAAATATGTAAAATAATAGCCCTTAACCCCTAATAATAGCCATAAAGGCCATTATTTTACATACTTTTGGGGTCCAGGTAGGGTTTAGGGTTGAGGTTGTAGGTTTCCAAAGGGTGTAGGACTCGGGCTTGGACTTGAAGGACATCTTGCTACGTTTAACCTATACTTACTTGGAGGACCACTGTACTTATAACCTACTTAGTAACTGTAGTTATAACCCAAATATATCTAGGGTAACTATGATTATGGGACTTATATTTAGGTAATAACTACAATTACTAAGTAGGTTATAAGTACAATGGACCTCCAAGTATACTTATAGTCCCCCGTAAGCAGGTAGAATATGGCTTTGGGTCTATTACAATATAATCCCCATATACCCAAATTCTATCTACTTAAGGGGGACTATATACCCCAAGCCCTAAACCCTAAATAGTAGATTCCATGTTCTTTTCCATTATCCCAATATAACCCCCATATAACTCCAATATGACCCTTAAGAAGCATGCAAGTTGATTGTTTGCTCTTCCATGCTTCTAGGAGTGGTCCATCAACAAGCGTCCCTTCTCAGAGAGATGAACAGTCCCTCTGCCAGGGCTCATACTTCAGGAGGACCCCCACGTTGTAATAGTGGTATAATAGGAATGTAAGGGGGCCCTAATATAAGCTATAGTCTGAACTCCTAGTATCCCCTTTAAGAACCCCATATAGTAATCCCCTGTAGAATCCCCGATGTAATCCCCTTTCAAGGAATTTAGACTAATGCTTATATTGCCCTTATAGCCACTATTGCAAGGTGGGGTGGTCCACGTAACTCATACTTCCAACTCGCCTGTCCAACCCAAGGATTCGTGGTTTAGGGTTTAGTGTTTGGGGTTTAGGGTTTAGGGTTCAGGGTTTAGAGTTTAGGGTTGATAGCTGATCCATGCATGGTTTGAATCCACTACATAACCCTATATATAGCAGTTTCCATTTTATGTTCCATTTTCTTTTCCATTTGATTCTCCAGTATCCCAATATAAGTCCTATCAAGCAGCCCCCATACAATGATGGAAACCGCGGTCATGTATCGAAGCGTCAAAACATCGTAAACAACTCTCCGGGGGCGAATGAAGCCTGGAATCGTTGTATAGCTCCCTTGTATGCAGCCGTGCTAGACCCAAAGCCAACACCCTAAATCTTCAGTCGTAATCCCTCAAACTCCTAACCCTAAAACCCTCTCAAACTCAAAGCTCTAAAGCCTAAATCCCCTCAACCCCTCAGCCCTGAATTCCATCAGCCAAATCCCCTCAACCTCTGGACCTCGAACCCCACCTCCCCTCAACCGCTACCTGGATGTCCTTCCTTCTGGGAGGTTCTGCTCTACATATTCGTACAGTCATATTTTGTAGGGTATATCACAAAAAAGTGGGACACTCACTAAACTAAACCCTAAACCCATAAACCCTAAACTCCTAAACTCCTAAACGCCCAAGCCCTAAACCCATAGACTCTAAACTCCTAAACTCCTAAACCCTAACATCTAAATCCTAAGCCAGCCCAGTATGGACCAGGCCAAAGCACCTGAGGCCATGGCTACCAGGTGCGATGGCTTCGGCTGTGAGACTTCCACAGAGTACCTCTGCGTTTAGCGTTTAGGGTTTAGGGTTTCAAGGTTTACGGTCATAGGGTTTTAGGGCTTAAGGTTTTAGGGTTTGAGGGGTTTTTAGGGTCTTGGAGTTTTAGGGTTTAGGGCTTCATAGCTGTAACTGCTTACTCACTTCCAAGGATCTTCGAGTCGGGCTTAGGCTTTGGGCTTAGAGTTTTGCGACCTTGCGTTGTCCTCTTGTTTCGGGGGATTTGTGATTAGGATTTAGGGCTCTTCTCCACAGCTAGAAGAAGGCTATGAACGATTGAAGAATGGATCAAACCCTAAATCCTAGGTTGGCATTTGCAAGCTACACAGGTACGAATACCCGCAGCGTGTAAGAGTAACTACAAGGGATAATGGTGATTAAATATGAAGGTCCTCTCATATTCCTTTTATATGACTATTCCAGGGCGGGGAGGGGTCTACCTAAACTACCTAAACTGTCACCCCTTGTTCCTGGACCCATCCATTTGTGACATTGCAGCTTTTGCCGGAACTGGGTGACGATTCTTCGAATTGAATGCACCTGGAATGTTGCAGCCTCCGATCAGAACATCATGCCAATGAAGGCTCCCTTTCGAGGCAGGTGAGATTTTGCACATATGTGGCGGGCCCGCTCTGTAGATTTCCTGGCCCTTCCCTCATCAAAGCATTCTACTGCGTCAGCGTAAGTAAGAAGGTGATGATGATGATGATGATGATGATGATGGTTATGCACCGGCGGCGGTGGTGCGAGTTAGAGTGTGGTGGTGGCGGTGGTGGACGCCGTGGCGGCCGTGGTGGCAACACTTGCAACATTTACAGTAATGGCAAAAGTTATCATTCTGAAATCAGTTCTCCGCCATAACAAGTTTAGGGTTTAGGGATTAGAGCTTGTAGCCAGAGCCCCGTTGAAGGCAAGCGCCCTTTCCCACGGCAAGAAAATCAGGATGCTTGTGCTTCCTAAGCCCCAGCCCTGAACCCTAAACTCGACACACGAGCCCTCACGTAGAAGCCCAAAAACATTTACATATATCCTTTTCAGACCAATTTGAGGTACTCTACTGTGTACCATAATTATGTAAGGACGCTGGGACCATAATATCAATATTTCTTTAAATTCATTTAGGCTTCTACCTCAACCCTCAACGCTAAAAACCCTAAACCCGAAAACCACAAAATCCTAAAAACCCTAACCCAAAAAACCGTAAATCCTAAAATACTAAACCATAAACCTCCAAACCTGAACCCCGGGCACTTGCCCGCCGGTAGCTCGATCTCTAAAGAGTTCCGTAACCCGCGCTGTTCACCCACCCAAAGACCTTCTGGAACCTGGCTTGTTGGGGCTTTAGGGTCTAGGGTTTAGGGAGTAGTGTTTAAGCATTAAGGTTTGGGGTTCAGGGTGTAGGGTTTAGAGTTCAGGGTTTAGGGTGACATGGGGGGTACCTGGCTACTTTTTGGGATACTTCCCTAAACCCTGAACCCTGCATTTGTAAGTGAGTCTTCCTGAGTTGGGTTTTAACGTAAAATGATTCCAAGATGATATTCAACAATGAAGCAGGTATGATAGGGACCCTAGCAAAGCGCGGAATTCCTTACGGGACCGACCACCTTGTAAGCAAAAAGGTCTCATTGGCAGGAAGTGGGTTCACTTTCAGCAAGGCTTCTCATAGGTTTTGAACTACATGGCGTAGGGCTGTAGGCTCAGGGTCTAGGGATCTATTTTTCAAGATGTTTTTGCCGAGGCTCCTAGCCGATTGTGTCGGTATCCTAGTCCCAGTCAACAAACTGCTTCTGATTCTCCAGTTTCCTTACAGTGCCACTAGAGACCTGCTACCCCGTTAGGTCAGCTGCTCGGGAAGGATCGTCAAGAAACATGCAGTTTAGGGTGTAGGGTGTAGGGTTTAAGGAATCCCAATGCGCAATCCCGGGAAACGCACTTTGCACTCTAGGGTGGGTTGAAACCAGCGCAAGCTAGCCAAACACTTGCCGAATCCTCAAGCTCTATACCCAGAATCCGAAAACATCCCAAACCTTTCCCTAGGGATCCATGTATGTAAATAATCCCTACATTGGGCCCCAAAGTCTGTAAATGTTACCTACATTGGGTTATTTGGATCCCTAGGGTTTGAGCACTACAAGGTAGAGCCCGCGACATGGTACCCGGCACTTCTATTGTCTGATTTGTCGCCCAAAGGGTCCATGTAGGTATATGGGATATACTTGGGCCTTAAAGTAGGTACATGGGAACCCCTTTGGGCCCTAAGTATATACCATATACCTACATGGACCCTTTGGGTCGGAATCCTTCAGAGTGATCCAATATCTAGATCGTTCCGTGGGCTTTTACTACACTTGAGAAGGCTGGGGTCTGCTGTTCTTTGGGAGCCTCTAAGCGCCCCCGGAAAGAGAGAATACCACGCGCAGGAGTATCCCTACATTAGGGGACCCTAATATAGACCCCAGACAACTATTCTTTATTCTGGGGACCCCCAAAGTAATACCCCTAATATTGAGACACCCCCACCTGAAACATGTCAAAACCTGGGATACTAGACCAGAGCAAAAAATGCTGTCTGCAAAATGGAAAGCCGTAAGGTAAGCTTCATACTAGCAATGCCGCATATATGTTCTCTATGTTACCCGAGAAACGCAACGTGTTCGTTCCAGCATTCATTAACTGCTCACGCTATGCCGGGAATATGTCGCCAGGTTTCGCACTGGGCCACCATAACATGATATCGAGAATTCCAGTGCGCAGGCTTCATCTTCCCAACGCCTCTGAAAGAAGCAATGCGCATTATAGGCGCTATAGACATTCATTCGCGTTTCCAACTGCCCCTTGCGCGCGGTGCAAATGAGGTGATATCGCCAATGCTGCATCGCTCTGGATGCTGCGGAACACTTACGGATGCCGTGTTCACAGGGAGGTACCCTTTCAAGGCAGAAGTTTAAGCTTGAGCAGCTCTGGACAGAGTCATTTCTACTCGCTATCATTTTTGGGAGTTCATCTTATCGTCGCCCAGCATCTGCAAACTCCTGATGGGACCTATCCGAAATGCTGGAACCATATCGTTGCACAACCCTGTGCAATTCCATTCCCGACTGGCTACATCACAAGTCCTCCCCCTAAGGGTCCAAGGACCCAAATAAAAGGGTTTTAGGGCCCAAATATTATAATATTAATGGTACTTGGGCCCTAAAACGCTTTATTCGGGGCCCTTGGACCCTTAGGGTTCCCTAGAATTCTTTCCTTTCGGAAAGTTTTGCCTGTCGTTCACATGCCCTGAGCCTCGTGTCTCCTACGCGAAGTCTTTCACTGCTGGATGGAGTACTGTTGCAGTGGCTACGTCTAAACATGCCACTGGCAAAGCGGTGTTCACTGAGTCCACCCAAGAACTTACTTACTAGTTGCTAGTAGGGAATGGAACCATGGATTCCTACAGTAACCCCTTGGTTAACCCCTAATAGTTTGAGTTTCAATCCAAATCCTTCATCCACTGCTAACAACAAGCAAGACCAGTAATTAACCTAAATTAGGTGTGGTAGAAGAGACCCCATGACCGGATCCTGAATTGGGAGACGCCTCGCACGGTGAAGGGTTAAGGGTTTCTCTTTCAGGATTCAAACGGTATGCCTTGAACCACGAAAAAAGCAAGGTTTCCACATAATGTCCGCTGCAGTAGATCCACAGAATGAACATGTTCCGACAAGACACTCCCAACAAAGCGGTCCAAGGTTCGAAAGGCGCCAAGCCTAAACCCTAAAAGCTATAAACCCCACATCCTAATGCATCCCTAAACCCTAATCCCGAAGCCCTGAATCCTGATCCCAAGAGCACAAACCCTAAACCCGTTCCTAAACCTGGTGACCGTTTTTTCAAGCACCGTTGCAAAGTTGATGTATTTGGGGAAAAAACAGCACTGCAGAATCCCATAGAAATCCTACGCCTTTTTACGGCACTTTGTGCCTTTTTACGTCACTTTGCTCGTTACCTTCCCTCCGAAAAGCAGCAACTATACGGTAGTGCCTGAATTTCTTGGCAGTGACGGAAATTTCTGGCACCGGGCACAGTGGTTGCTTTTTTTGGGCACCAAGCGCGGTCCAGGTAAACCCTAAACCCTAAACCTCTAAACCCTAAACTCCAAAATGCTAAACCCTAAACCCCCTTAATCCAAAAGCCAACAAACGTATAGGCCCGGAATCGCGCATAGCTCTAACCTTGCAGAATTAGCCTCAGCCATCCCTTAAGCAGCCTCACTAAGGGGGCGGGTAGGGTTTAGGGTTTAGGGGTTAGGGTTTAGGGAGGGGGAAGCCCCAGGAGGATGTAGTATAGGGTTTAGGGTTTAAAGTTTTGGGTGGGTCAGGGAACCCTCAACTCTAGATCCTTGAGCCCTAAACCTTGAAACCCTCACACCCAAAACCCTAAACCCCACATCCTGAACCATGAAACCCCCAACAACTAGTCTAAGGGAACCCTATCGCCTGCAGAGCGATTCGCACCAAATCCAAGGGCAATGAAGAACCGGCCTCAAGTTCTCGTGATATTGTTGCTTATACTACTATTGAATTAGGGTTGAGGGTCTAGGGTTTAGGTACAACTATTGCTTACCATTACATTATACTGCTATGATATGATTGTCATTACTGTTGTTGTTGCTAGTAACATTTCTTTCAAGAGGCTTGTAGGGGCTTCGTATTGGGGGCATGGGGATCTAGAAAGCTGGGGGTTGACATACCCTAAACCCTCAACCCCTAAACCCTGAACCCTAAACCCCTCAACTGTAAACCATAATCCAGGGCGTGTTTTGGAGTTAAGGTGTGAGGTCTAGGGCGTCGCGCTTCGAATTTGGGATGTGAGGCTGCTAACTCAGGCTCGTTTAGGGTTTCGGATTTAGGGTTTGGAGCTTAGGGCTTTAGACCCTAGCACTCCGCACTGCGCCTTTACGTGTAATGCTGAGCGTTGAGACTCCTAAGCGGTAGTAAAACTTTACTGGCCCCAACAACGTCCTGAACCCTAAACCCAAACTCCTGTACCTACATTCTAAACCCTAAGCCCTAAATCCTCAATTCTAAGACGTAAACCCTAAACCCTTAAGCCCAATCCCCCTGCCAATTCAGCATCACGCCTCCAGGTAGACGACAGAGGAAACCGTAAGTGAGATTGGCACCTTCAGTGTGTGTTTGCGTTAAGGGTTGAGGGTTTGGCGTTTAGGGTTTAGGGGTTTAGGGATTAGCATTTGGGGCTTAAGGTTTGTTGTTTAGACCTGCGGGGTCTAGGACTTTGGGTTTACGGCTTTGCGGCTTTGGGTCCCGGATGCTGGGTTTGGACACTCGAATGCCCAGACGCCCTAAAGGATCTCCAAACAAAGCTCGAACAAATTCTTTGGCTTCCCCAATGTAGTATGTGGATGTGTTTATCTTTTTTGTTGGAGGGGTGTATCCATTTAATCATTCCTTCATGCTGTGACGTGCCTGGGAAGTGGTATAGTTGGAGCATCTAGGGATCCTATGCCGTTATCTGTTGTGGTCGCTGGGACTGGGAAGGGGGGATCACAAAAAGGAATCCCAGGATGCGGTATCGCATGCTCACAGTGCTCACATCGCGTGTACATCGTAATATCAACTGCTACACAAAACTTCAGAACCCCAGCACTCCAGCATGGTACTATAAGATAGAAAGGCCAGCAGGATTGTAAGCCTTGACAGTACATAAACCCTAAACCATAAATGTCTACATGCCCCTCGAAAGAAGCCTCAAAATCCCTAAACCCTAAACCCTAAACCCTTACACTCCTAAACCCTAAACCCCTAAACCCCAAATCCTAAACCCTGAATCCCCCTCACAAATGTACAACCCCGCAGCTGAGCCTTGATCAGCCTCCCCTGCATGGCAAGGTAGCTGCCACCAAGCCTCCGACACAGTCTAGAGTTTGGGGTCTAGGGTTTAGGATTTAGGGCTTAGAATTCAGGGTTCAGTTTTTTTGATTTTTTTTTTGCTTTTTGCGGCGCTTTTTATGGTTTAGGATTCAGGGTTTAGGGTTTAGGATTCAGGGTTTAGGATTCAGGGTTTAGGGTTCAGGATTCAGCGTATAGGGTTTAGGAGTCAGGGTTTACAGCAACTTGCTTGAAGAAAGATGTTGAAACAGGGCGGCGGGCCTTCCGATTGATTTTTGGGATTCTATAGTATTCTATAGGGTCGAACATCCGGTGCAGCATACTCTCGGGCAGAACAGATTTTCAGCCGATACTTTTCCAGCGGAAAATTTGCAGAGCATGCACACAAGTGCTTGGTAACTGCCATGTACCTTTTGGAAGGCAGGGGATTCCGTTTGCGGGACGTGCAGGAGCATGGTGAGCGCCACATTGAGGTCATCTTATGGTGTATGTTGGGGCCCCCAACATCATACAGCCGCAAATACATAAAGAGCGTCCAAAAGCGACCATGCACACACTTACATACCACAAGCACTGACACCTTCCACCACAAAGGATAGCTCTGCTTGAAGCACCGAAGAGTCTATTTGCGCGGGCTTCGGCCATTGATGGAACCAGCGTATGCAACCAAAGCCTAAACCATAGAACCCCAAATTGTTGGAACCCTTTGATACAAAGAGCACATGTCTCAAAAGCCTTCCAGCAGGAGTGCCCCCAGGGCCCGGGAGAATCACAAGGCTCCTTGTTACCCCAAACCCTAAACTCTAAACCCTATATTCGGAACCCCCAACATGAAAGCCTAGCCTCTAAACCCTAGACCCTGAACCTTCAACTCTAAACCCTGAACCCTAAACCCTAAACGGATAGTTTAAGGAGCACCCTCATAAGCTCCTCATGCTCCCCTCATACATGAAGTGGACCCCCTCTCCCAGTACTAGTGACTATAAAAGGATATAGTAATTAACGATGACGGTAGGGTCCTCTTATTTCCTATTATACCACTATTACACTGTGGGAGGATCCTCCTAACTTATACACCTCGATTGATGGTCCGCTAGGGTCTCTCTTTTTCTGTGACATGTTCGAAATAGTTTGGCTGAGGTTTTATCACTCCGAGTTTGTTTAGGGTTGTTGAACCACGTATGACTTATTGCTCTCAACAACTACCATACTCAAAAGGATATGAGCTGTAGTCTAAACTCCTAGTATCCCCCTTAGTAACCCCTATAGTAGTCCCCTATATAATCCCCTATATAACCCCCTTTAAGGAGTTTAGACCATATGCCTCCATGTATGTAGGACTATGGGATCCCCAAACGTTGTCGCCCTCACACCAGTGGAGACTTTGCGTCCTGCACTGCGTGGATTTTAGGGGTTTAGGGTTTAGGGTTTAGGGACAGAGAAAATCTTGAACCACCTCGGGCCCTAAACCGTTTCTCAAACTTACCAAAACCCAGAGAAGCACGTGCAGAAGTTCCATGGACACTAGCAATATTCCACATATTGTACCTACCCATACAAACCCCTCTATACATCTGGACCAAACTGACATGTGCCTGAGGAACACTGGGCCAATGGACCACCTAGGCTGCCGCGGGTCGGGATGCAAGCTCGAGGGCTAAGGGTGTTTGGGATTTAGGCACAGACTTGCAATAACTGAATCCAACGTCCATGTGTGAGACACTGTCCCTAAACCCTGAACTACAGCAACATCGATCTGCCAATCCGTATCAGTATGGTGTGTGTCCCAGACTGCACGCAAGGTTTAGTATGTCAGGCTTCGGGTTTAGGGTTCAGGGGTGTGGGATATAGCCAGCAATATAGCCAGCAAATCGCAATGTTCGTTTTCATGTAGGAAAGGCATGCTTCTTGGGAACACTCCCCTTTTAAGGCCAAACCCCTAGCTCTCAGCGCAAAAACCCGCAAAAGAGGGCCCAGAAGTTCTTTGAATCGAGCTCCCGCCCGAAACTCCAAGCTGAAATTTCCATGAGCCATAACACTAAATCCTAAACCCGAAATCCTACCCGAAAAAAAACCAAATAGCCCGATGCAGGTACTATTACCAGACTTCCAGTGCGGGTATTACTTATAGACATGGATCCCCAAGCCAAAGCCCCAAACCCCTAAACCCTAAATACCTCTAAATTGCCATCTTGCATCACTGGGGGTGTTCCCAGCATGCTCTGGGCTGGGGCTTATGTTCCCACCCTGTGACAGTCTATATTCGGGGTCATTTAGGGCTATCTATATATATATATAAGTATATAAGTATATCGTGAATATCATCCAAATGTTACGGAGTGGAGCAGTACCCAAGGTATAGGGCAGATTGTATTTCTCATAAATGCAGGATACCAGTATAGACGCTGATGTACTGTATAGAAACATATGTACTCTCATGCTTGTCTTGGAGACGATCAGGCTGAGCTTGGCATAAAGCATGGGTTGGCCAATGGGGCAGGTACGCTGAAGACGTCCTCAAAACAGCATTCACAGGGGGTCTCTTGAAAGGCTCCTGCAACGAAGACCCCCCGCAAGCGTGCAGCTATCTGCAAATTGCCCATCTTCGTCCTCACAGGGGACACGCTACTTGGAGCTGCCGGGCGTTCCAGGGAGCGCCTAACCGACCTGACTACACAACAAACAATCAGACCGACAGAATGACAGCAAACGAAACACGTGCAACAAACCAAATGTGGAACAAGGGGCATTTTGTCCAGGTCGCACAGCTCCGCCTGAACCCAACTCCAACGGTCCAATGGAAGAGTAGCAAGTGCCGTTGCCTTCTCGTTGCTCAGTACATCCTGCCGTTGTATGTTGCAGCTTCGAAAGGTTGCACAATCCATCGCAGGGACATTCTCGGCCGCCTCCGCATCCGAGTCCTGCGCAGAAAATGCTGCACATGCGCATTAAGAAAATCTGCGTCCAAGCCGCCAACACGAGTCCCTACAAACCACTAATATGACAGCACTGCTTGCATTCGATCCTCCATGTGCTCTGCCATGTGAGTCTCCACTAGTGAGGTAGCATACCCGTACATCACCCAAGTAAAGTGTTGCAAGACTGCTCCTAAACCTCCTGAACCCTAAGCCCTGACTTTGAACAAACCCTAAAACCAAACGACCCTGTTAACGCAATCAAGACGAATAACCCTGATGACCCCAAGCTCTTTGGGCAAACCTTGCACCCTGAACCCAAAACCACTGGGGCTTTAATCTTAGGCCCTTAACCTTGAGCCTACACCCGGAATCCCAAACCCTAACCCCTAAATCCTAAACCCCAAATATCAAACCCTAAACCCCTATGTCCATTTCAGCGTCTCTGTGCAACAGCACAACCCCTCTTGGAGGATCCAGTGCTAACACGAGATTCTCAAAACACGAGTAACCTGGCGACTTAGTAATCATAGGGTGTAGGGTTTAGGGTAAGGGGGACTTAGTACGTGTAATTACCTACAAACCCACAAACCCGGTAGGTGATGCAGTAGCCCCAGTTGTCCCCGGTATTAACCTACCAACTATGTGCATTGCACCTTAAAATAAGGATATTTGGGAAGTACAAAGAATTGCAGAAGTCTCCTGTAGCGCAGCATCATATAGGTAATATGTTGAGAAACTTCCAGATGATGGGAGCATAAAACGGGAGGCCCAAACCCCAAACCGTAAAGCGTAAACCGCGCGAGTCTGACCCGAGGTCCCGCGAAGGCCTACGAAGCGATAGTGTCATCTATAGTCTTGTGGGAGACGGTATGATATTGCCTGGCTATAGCTTGGTTTTTCCTTTAAGTAATGCTATGCTGGTTGAACCAAGTAAGATGCGATAGTCTATGCTTCTTAACAGTACCAGAGTCCACAGGAGGACATCTTCTTAACTTATATTGGGCCCTAAACCCTCAACACCCTGAACCCTAAACGCTCAAACCTAAACCCTGAACCCTAAACCCTAGACTCTAAACCCTGAACCCTAAACCCTCTTTGCCTAGGGACCTCACAGTAGGCCTGAAAGCCCCTCAACCTCGCACTTAGCCGCCCCTCGACCTACACCCTCAACCCCCCCAAACCCCCCAAACCCTTAAACCCTTAAATTGGGTTGCTGTGAAGAAACTTAGTTACTGTATTGGGTCAACCATATGACTTTCTACACATATATATATATATACCCATTATTATGGTAACTTAAGTTCGAAAACAGCAACCCAGTAAACCCCTGAACCTTTCACTGGGTTGCTCTGAAAGGAACTTAGTCAAAGTTGCCACAAGAGGAGGCTACGGTTTCGTTATCATGGCAACTTCCTTCAAGTTCCTCAACAGCAACCCAGCAACCACCCTAAACCCCTAAACCCCTAAACCCTAAACCCTAAGCCCTTAAACCCTAAACCCTCACACCTCTAAACCCCTAAACCCTAAACCTTAAACCCTAAACCCTCACACCTCTAAACCCTAAACCCTTAAACCCTAAACCCTCACACCTCTAAACCCCTAAACCCTAAACCCTAAAACCCTAAACCCTCACACCTCTAAACCCCTAAACCCTAAACCCTAAAACCCTAAACCCCTCACACCTCTAAACCCTTAAACCCCCCCCCT